GGTGTGGGCCCCCCACCTGTACCTCCAAGGCTTTCATCCCGGGGTCGGCCCCCTTACCACGCCGAGGCCCCCCGCTGCTGTGCAGGCCACCCTGCCCACGCTCAGCTGCTTCCAATCACCCCAGCAAATGCGATGAGCAAAGTAGCATTTTTGTGCTGCATTTTTCTTAGGAAGGAAAAATAACACCCAAACAGAATTCCCCTGCCCGGAACACACCACTTTCTTGCTAACCACAAATTCTGCCAAAATCAGTTCTACATAATAGTGCTTTGGTTGGTTCCTCTTTCTTCAAATGGATACATTTTACCTTGCAAATTGTGGGGGGCGGGGGGGGCGGGCAGAAAGAGTTTAAAAACCCATTACACAAACTTAAATAATATTCACATAGCTACCACTGTAACCAAAGCAAAATGAGATACTACCCTAAAAACCTTATGATAAAAACGTAATTCTATTCCAACATCTGAGCCCCTTCACCATAGCAGAGATCATTCTAGATACTGGGATGTGAAGAAAGTAACAGTTTCTGCCCGTGAGGAGCTGGCACTGGAAACGTGTGTCATGGACAGAGAAGGATGGATGCAAACAGTACCTTGAGGTGTAATTTAATCACAGTCCAACGCATACATCTTAAGTGACAGCGCAGTGAATTCTGACATGTGTGGAGGCAGAGAAGCAGGCTAGAGGGGGTGACTGGAGCACAGAGGGCACGGAAATCACCCAGGCATGCAGACGGCGGGGTGGGGGGCGGGGGCAGTGTGGGGAGCGGATGGCGGGCAGAGTTCAGACCTGACCCCACACACAGCCAGGAAGCATCAGGAGGGTTTGCAAAGACAAATGGCTCGGGGCTTCCTCACGGGATGGAATGAACGGAATGCCACAGAACGAGCGGTAACAGAGGCGAAGCAGAAGCCTGTTCTAAGGGCGGGGTGCATGAGACTGCTGGAGGCGGTGGCAGCCTGAACACACCCCCACCGCGCCTGACGCAACCCTCACGAGTCCGATCAGACAAGCACGCACTCTTTGCCCTTCTTTTTTTTAACCTTTATTTTTCAATTACTCTCGACATTCAATTTTATATTAGTTTCAGGTGTACAGCATGGTGGTTAGATGTTTATGTCACTTAAAAGTGATCCCCCAATTAGTCTAGTTCCCACCTGGCACCATAACTAGTCATTACAGT